GCACGTTGACGATTAACAATATTGTCTTTTGATACTCGAAACCCTTCTTTGGAACAACAAAATTCTTGTGTCTTCATATTTCCTTCCACGTCAAGCCGTGTTGGTCCCTTATGTGCACTAAACCCATGTTCCCGTGCGAATCTCTTGTAAAAGTATCAAGCTTGATCACGTGAAGAGAATAGCTGACCAACCAATCTGTCAGATTCATCAACATTATGTACTTCATGGCATTCCTCGGTTGGCTTAACATTGTCTGTATTAGTATGATCCATGGCAAAAATTTTGTTGTGCAAGTTCAGTGGTCCCGGAGTTGATGGAGATGTAAGTAAATGTTCATTCATCATGTTTTAGCCGTGCTTTCAATATGACGTGGTAGTGGTAGTTGAAGGGTGGGTACAACATTAAATTCGCATGACATATTTAGGTATGTACAATAACTACCTAAATATGTGTCGATATATTTTCTAAAAGTATCGACCCAAAAAACATCGAAACCAATAATTATAATGTAATATGTAAATTAACAATGTAACCGGTATAAATATATTGATTAATTAGAAAACATGTCAACATAATGTATCGACACTTGTGTAATTTGTGTCGATACTTATTGTCCAGAATGAATGCCCAAACGAGGTGTACGCATAAAGTGTCGATACAATTATTAAAAGTATCGATCCCAATAAAATTGAAACCGATAATTATAATGTCATATGTAAATTTACAATGTAACCGATATAAATATACCGGTTTTACGAGAAAATAGGTCATCATAAAGTATTGACACTTGTTAAATTTGTGTCGATACATTTTGTCCATAATGAATGTCAAACGGGTGCATGCATAAAGTGTTGATACATTTATTAAAAGTATCGATCCCAAAAATATTGAAACCGATAATTACAATGTGATAGGTAAATTTACAATGTACCGATAGAAATATACCGTTTTTTTAAAAAAATATGTCTAAATAATGTATCGACACTCTTTAAGTTTGTGTCGATACTTTTTTCCAAAATGAATGTCCAACGAGGTGCACACATAAAGTGTCGATACATTTAAAATTGTATCGATCCAAAAAACATCGAAACCTATAATTATAATGTAATAGGTAAATTTGTAATGTTATCGGTATAAATATATCGGTTTACTTATAAAATAGGTCAATATAAGCGCTATCTATTACATTATATAAGAGCTACCTAATATGTTATTATACTTGATAATATTTCCGGTTAAATGTCTATTTTATTATATAAGTACTACATATTACATTATATAAGTGTTACCTAATATGTTATTGTACTTAATAATATTTCTGATTAAATGATATAACATAATCGGTCTAAATTTAACCGATCACTTCATTTTTTAGTCATTTTTTAGACGCTGCACAGTAGAAATTCCCGAGCAATATGTGAAGAAAATACTTTTCTTTTTGTACGGGCTAATAAAAATCAAAAGCCTTTGTCAACTTAACCTATATCCCTTTCTGCTCAATGACTTGCTATTTTTTTTTTTTTTTGATACAGCTATTTATTTGACTTGTTTTGCCTGGAAAATATTAAGAAGCATTCAACTCGTTAAACCCTTCAAATTGGTTGTACGTAAATCAGAGCAGCCTTTGGAGATGCATTCCCATTTGCAGAAATTATAAAGACTTGGGACGGTGGAATAGAAAATTCATGAAAAAGGACGTCGTTGGAGCCAAGATTTGTCCTTGATACCCAAACACGGATGTCCTTATTATCCTCAACGAATGTATCAAGTTTCACGATATCCTGATTTGGTGCTAAGATTACTTAAAATTTCAGAATGTTTGCTTGATCTGGAAATTATCTCATATTAAGGTATAAACAGTTCGAAAATGGTGACCTTTAAACAGCAAAGCTAGGGGCATTGTACTAATCAAGTCGGGACATTCACTTGACTGCTTCAATTTTTAAGTTGGTTTGAAAGTCAATGACTTTCATTAATTGCCGTTTGGCAGACAATTTCCAGGGTAGATTCAGCCAATGTTTAGAGAAGGGAAATGTATGCATTATAATTAGACTAAACTACATAAATGATCACTTACGTTTAAGTGGGGATGACAAAAATTCTGAATTTGACGGAGAAAATTGAAAATCGAATTAAACGGAGATGAAAAAAAATCGTTTATGTTAAACGGGGACGAGTTTGATAATCCCCGCCCGATTACCCGGCCTGATATCAGTCCCGATAAATATTAAAAATAAATATTATATATATATATATAAAATATTTATAATATTTATATAATATTTATAAATATATATAATATTTATATATTTAATTTAAATATATATATACCCGGCCCGATACCCTTTAAATAACCGTTTATGCTAAACGGGGATACCCGTTTTCCCGTTGTTTTCCCCGATTACCCGATAGAGATCACCGTTTAAATCCCCGCGGTTTTTTAAGCGGGGACGAGTATGAGTTTTTTAAACGGGGACGGGGGACCAATACCGGCCCGAACCCGGCCTGTTGCCATCCCTACGTTTGAGGAAGTTTTTTTAAAAATTTTCTATTAATATTTTAAAACTAATTATTGGCTATTAATATTACTAATTTATAATAAATCATTCACTTGATATTAACACATATTGATAACATAATGTTATATAAGTGAGGATCTTATTCTTTAAAAACTTAACTATTTCACTTCTAACAATATAATCGATTTAATTAATCTTTTTATTTACCGACTCGAAAAGCTACCACATTAAACATCGTCGATAGGAAAGGCATCATCGGCTAGATATGAAAGATTTTTTTTTTTTAATTTTCATTTGCAAAATCTCCCAAAGAAATGGTTTTTCCGGCTAACATCCATCAATAAGTAGTCTTTTAAAACACATTTACCGTCCTTTGTCCCACCACAACCACTAGTGCAATTCTATCCATTGTCGTTTTCTTTCCCTCTCTAACTTTTCCACTCATCCAATCCAAACCCTCACTTTGCCTTCACCTGTCAGATTTTCCATACCCCATTTCTCAATCACCCCTCTTACTTCAAAAGAAGTTTGGGTATACACGTACTAATAATATTATTAGTTTTTTTTATATGAGAGGCAAACAAATAAAATTTTAAGATGAAAACTATCAATAACATAAAAAATTTAGATTTTAAGATATATATGTTTCTACCTTAGAGTCTACTTGTTATATAAATCATTTTTCATTAGTTGATAAATATTTTTGAAACTATTTATTATAAATATTGAATATAATAAATAATATTATTTATTAAAAATTAAAAGTATTATTATTTTTAAAATATTAAAATAATATATTTAATATTATTTATGTCAATATTATTATTAAAATATTAGCTCTACAATAAATAATATAATTTATTATATATTATTAAAATAAGAATATAATATCATATATTATTATAATATAATTAAATATATTATTATAATATAATTAAATATATTATTATAATATAAAAATATTATATTATTAAAATTATTAATAAATACTTTTTAATAATTCATATTTTTTATTAAAATGGTAAAATTAATATTGTAGAGCAAAAGTTTAATAATATTAATATTAATATTAAATACATAAAATAATATTATGTTGAGTATTTATATTTTAGAGTAAAAGTTTAGAAAATGATGTGCAAAAAATTAGACCATAAGTCATTTCTTAAGAAATTCTATTAACCACGAAAATGAATTACATTGAATAGGAATAAGCAAGACTTGACTAGGTTCAAAAAATCGATTTTTTGACTCCACTCAATTCGAAGAAACTTTACTCGAATTGATTTCGAGTTATAATTTCATAAAATCAACTCGACTCGAAAAAAATTCAAGTTCAAATCGAGTTATAAAATACAACTCAGATAACTCAAAATTTTTAGTAATGAGTTGATTGACTTTTAAGTTTGAGTTGAGTAGACTCTGTATGATATATGTATATAACATATGGAAAAAATATCAAGAAATATATATATATATATTGTATGATTATAAAAACTCATTTAAATTAGAATCAAATAGTAACATAATATTATAAATATTTACAATTAAATTTAAACGAAAACTCGATTCGAAAAAATTTCAAATCAAATTCGAGTTATAAAATAAGACTCGTCAACTTGAATAACTCGAAATTTCTTGACTCGACTTAATCAAACACTCACTTCTAACATTAACCATTTATTTTTCGCAAACCAAACACTAAAAAATAAGAAGAAAAAATACTTTCTAAAAAATCAATTACAGTAAAATAAGCACTCCCTATTATTCCCAAATTACTCCAGCCTTTCCTCGACACTCTTGATCACATTCCTCGTAACAAATTTGTTACAGATAGATCTAACATTGATGGATTTGTAATTTTTTTAATGTTGTCTTACCCAAAAACTGAGTGGATTTGAATTTGATGGCTTGACGATGATTCTTTCTTTACGGACATGGTCTTCAAAATCTCATTTTTCGAATATAAAAATCATAATTTGATCATCCATGGATACTCGTATTTGATGGAGAAGAAATCAAAGGTTACTTTGAATACAGAGTTTCCCATTGAGGAACCATCAATGGTAGCTCGATCTACTCCATTTATTCAACCCAAAATTTAAACTCTCACATTTTCTCTATATCCAAACAAAAAGAGGGCGAAAAAATAATACAAAAATATCTCAAATCTTTTTCCTTTTCTTCTTCGATTCATTTTAGAATTCACAATTGAAACAAAAATATATAGAATGACTTTGGTTTCTGGGGGGTTTTGTTTTGTTTTTTTGTTTTTATTTGTTAGTGTAGGCTGGGGGAGGAGGATGAAGGGATTAATTTGATAGAATATTAAAATGTATGGATCAAATTTTAAAAATTAAGATTAAATTAAAATAAAGTATTAAAGTTGAGGGCTAAATAAAGTGTAGGTGCTGCCCAAGGACCACCTAGTGACGCAGGCAATATTCTTCGTAGTTAACTTCACCAAGGACCTCTCCAGTTGAGCTCAAAATAATTCATCTGCCAAAATTTGTATTCCTACTTAAGACATCTTGTTCTATTACAACTCAGCCTACAATCCTAAAAAAGACTTTCGTCCTTTGAACCGGTACTTTCTAGGAGAAGGTCTCATGAATTGGCTAAGGGAACCTCCGGCAGCTTGTTCCAGATGACCTGCTTCATAGAGAGTGCTACAACCAATTCATGACAAAAAAATGCAATTGTACATGAAATCAGCCTTCGACACTCCCGATGGTTGTTCCATCTCCAAACAATTATCTATCCAAGAAAGTTTATGATACTATTAATTTCCAAAGAACGTTAAATATCTGAGATTCATACAAAGATAATGGTTGGTCACTCAGTTAGCACTTTCCAACAGCAACTGATCAAGAAAATCAACCCCATCATCCAGTTTGCCAACAATCTTGGTTAAAAATAGATCCCAAGAACTCGGATCAACTCCTCCACTAGACATAGCAATCGAAACAACCTTCCCAACTTCACCCTCCTTTCCCATGTCCTGAAGCCCCTCAATCAATATATTGTAAGTTGCCTTATTTGGCAAGCAGCCTTTATCCAGCATTTCCTCCAGAATTCTAACCCCCTCCATTGTATTTCCGATCTTACAAAACCCTGTAATCAATATATTATAGGTGAACACATTTGGATTACACCCTTTTTCCACCATATCATCCCACAACTTCCCTGCCTCACTCAATTCTCCCTTCTCACACATACCATTAATCAAAGTATTATAGGTCAATAAACTCGGAACCGAACCTTTCTCGAACTCATCAAATATTTTCCTAGCCTCCCAAACCTTCCCTTCCTTACAGAGCCAATGAATCAACGTACTCAGTATTGCATTATCCGGCAAACAATCGTTCTTCAACATCTTCTTCCACAAGTAACAACCTTCCTCCACCTTGCCTTCTTCACACAACAGATCAATTACTTTACAAGAAAGTGAAGAGCTTGGGATATACTTCTTCTGAAGCATATCGTTAAACAAGTTAAGTGCTTCTCCGGATTTCTTCTCCTTACAGAAGGCCTGAATCATAACTCCATAAGTAACCTCATTTGGGTCAACACCATTTTCCTCCATTTCATCCATCACTTTAACAGCTTCATTGAACTTCCCTAATTTGCAATACCCATCCATTAAGACAGTATATGTCGTTGCATCAGGAATCCACCCTCTATCCAATAACTCCATGAAAACCCTCTTCCCGTTTCGCATATCTCCCCTCGCCAAATATCCGCCGAGAATTGTGGTATAAGTAACCAAATTGGGCACCATCCCCATCTCAGGCATTTCATCGAGCACTTTACATGCGGCTTCTACATCGTTTTTCTGACAAAGTGCTTTGATCAAAATATTGGCAGTAAAAACATTCGGTATAACGTCGAATTTCGTTTTGCTGTTTTTGAACATAAAGTGAACCAAATCGTACCGTTTGTTTTGAACCAAGACGTTTAACAAAGTGTTCAAGGATCGAACTGATCGCTGGACGTTGAAATTTTCGATACGCAAAAAGGTTTTGACTGCCAGCTTTGGGAGGGAAGCGAGGCCGTAATTCCGGATCACCGTGATAAAAAGTTCTTCGCCGCATTTAATTTGGGAATTTTGGAGCTGAGAGATGAGGGATTCCATGGGTTCGAAGGCGCGGGCGCGGGAGAGCTTTTGGATGATGGATTGGTAGGTGTTGTAATTATGGAAAAAGTTGGGGTGGAATTTTCCGGCGTAAAGGAAGATTTGGAGGGCAAGATCGAGGTTTTGTTGGCGGTTGATCATGGAGACGAGGCGTTTGGGATGGAGATTTTGGGGCCAGGGTTTAATCGGGGGTGTGACGGTGTAGTACTGGAGGAGTGGGGAGGAAGGATCTACGTTGGAAAGGTCGACGCTGGTGAAAGATCGGAAGGCGGTGTTTCGATCGAGGAGTCCGATCACCAATCGGCAATGCAGTTCAGTACGACGTATCATGGTTTAGAGAAATGAAGTCCTCGGAGGCGCTTCGGATTAGGCGCTAATGGAGTTGAGGCTTGTAATGAACGAAGGCGGCTAATTAGACTTTTTAGTGTAAATTATACTATTTACCACTTAATTATCTTTATACTTTTATTTTGGTCACTGAAATTTAAAAAAATTTAATTTAATTATTTAACTTTTGAATTACTCTGGTCACTCTTCTTCAATGACATTAATTATTTGATTTTTATTTTCATATGACGTGGCATATTTTGTTAGTATTGTAGTGCCATATAGGATTATAATAAAAATAAATTTAAAAATTTTAAATTATATCTTTAAAATTTAAGATAAAGTACACAAATGATTCTCCAACCATACGTTTTGTTGAATTTTCTGATTATTAAAAATTATAAAATAAAACTTATGGAACGGGAAGCTATTGTCTGCTTGTGCACCAATTTGAAACTCAAGGTTCTCAACCTTAATATTTATGTCCTTGTCAAGGGTGAGGATGGGTGGGGTTACTATGAGATTAGGATTTGGTATATGATTTGTAATATGATTTGGCTAATTTAAAGTGATAATAAGGTAGTATTTATTCTAATAATTATTCATCATTTGACAATAAAAGCTCAAAAACCCTTATAATTTTCAGTGCTCAAACTTGAAACTTCTAGGGATAACAACCACATCTTTAACCACTAAAATAACTTAGTTTGTACTTTGGATATGATTTGAGAGTTAAGAATTTGAGTATAAATTTTAAGGTATAATTTAATATTTTTAAATTTATTTTTATTATAATTCTATGTGACATTAAAATATTAATAAAATATATCACATTATATAAAAATAATAATAAAATAATCTATGAGTGTTAACATCTTGAAATTATGGGTAAACTACATAAATAATCATTAATATTTGAATAATTCTTTTTTCACTAGTAGTTCAAAAGGAAGATTTATTAATTTATAATAAATTAATCATTACCAGTAACGGTGTTAGTAGGATAATAGAATTTTGACGCAACATTAAATTGGTCTCTGGGATGGCAAAAAAAAAAGCATTAGCCAACCACTCTCTCAAGTCTAAAAGTTCAACCACTGCAAACGACTACACGGATAATCAGACGTCAGCAGCCGAATTAAATTTATGAAATTTCTCAGAAATCAAGAATGATCTGTATTCATCCTTGTTCATAAATTCTTTCAAGACAAAAAAACCCATCGTTGCCTTCCATTGCTGCCCCTTGGAGAGTTGGCTCAGCTTCAGCTTCAAAACTTACCTTGTTGACCTTGTTTTCATCATGGGTTTCAGCCAACATTTCACTTAGCTTCTCCAATTGTGAGAAACAACTCACCACATATGATTCATTCATATCATCTTTTTATAAGTAATTATTCTCAGTGAGAAAGAGCAATGGTATATATATACACGTACATGGGAAACTAACAAGGCAAAATTAAAATAAAATTGGTGTTATAAAAGCCAGTTGGTGAATTGCAAACACAAGGGTTTTATCCGCCATTTTTATTACACTCCAAGTTTAGCTCATAATTCTAAACTCTAAAGGGCCTTCTGGGCTCGGATCCTCTTCAATTAGACGCCACGAAAAAGTGGTATTGAAGAATCCGAATCCATCTGCCCTTTAGGCGTCACTCAAACAACTCGAAAGTAGTATATTCAAACAACCAAAAACACTTAAAACCCTTTAAATTTAATGTTTTGCTTTCTCTGTAGCTGTGGTAGCCATTGCTGCTTTACTCGACGTGGAATCCACCAACAGTTGGTTTTGTGTAGAGAGTAAGGTGCACGCCAGGGTCATGACAAACGCATGAAGAATTGTACACAATTGAGTTATTAATGCCTTGCACATTGCTGTTAATGAATGCGTTCATAGGCATTGTCTTTGATGAGTTGCTCTTGCCCTTCATCTTCTGATCACCTGCCTCGCGGCTGCTGCTGCCGCTTTCGAGAAGATACAGACTTCCCTGAAACCCATTTTTATGGTGGGATGATTGGTTTATCTCCATGAAAGCACCTTTATTATCACCAGTAATTGTTATGATCCTCATTCCTGCATCCTCGGATTCAGAAGAATTCTTCTTGCCCTTTGCCTCGCTTTCCTTGGATGGTGCTTTGCGAGTGCCACCAAATAGCCATCCCTTGGGCTTTTGCTCTGCCTCAGCATGAATCTTCTTGGGTTCAATCTCAGCTTGAGCTTTCAACTGGAAAGGTGGCCTACCAGTTGGCGGTTTGGTCTTCGGTGATTGCATTTCATTTTTTATGGCAGGCTTAATTGTTGTTACTGATGATTTAGGGCTAGGCATACGGGTCGTGGTGGTCACAGAGGAGGCAGGCTTTTGGGTTGAGGAACTTGCCACTGATGTTCCAGTTGGAGCTCTCTTGGCAGATGAAACTTTCGCGGTGGTATTATCAGTAACCACTGGCTTCGCTGGAGAAGATGGCAAGGACGATGTTATTGCTGTTTTCACAGGAGAAGTAGTTGGCGCGGTCTTCACGGTGGAACTAGGGACCGAAGAAGTTGCTACATTGACCGGAACCGTTGGTTTTTTATCTGCAGGGGATTGTGGAACCGTAGAAACACTACCTGCAGCTGCTGGTGGAGCGGCTGCATTTGGTTGAGCTTGAGATGGTAGCCTGAATGCAGGTCCAATAGTGGCTGAACTTGGCAGAGCTGGAGCTGGTTCAGGAGTTGAGGTTGGTGCTGGCCTTGAAATGGATGCTAAACGAAACCAGGGCCGAGTTGGTGCCGGTTGGTTCGACATTTTGCGGAGTGGTTCAAAAGAATCTGAAGATCAAAAGCTGAAAACTAAACGCACAAGAAACGATGAAATTATTGCGTAACCATGATATGTTTATATAGTAGAAAGAAAAGCATCCGGCCAAAAGCAACTGATTCTGCACATTAACAGCTCAAAAGTTAAACGTCTTACGATAGGAATCGAATGGTGTAAACTATAAGATTGAACGCTTCATTTTTCCACCCAGGTCTGGACACAAGGTTCAGAATCCTCATGTTATCAACGTGCAATAAGGATTTTTGTACAGTCGTTTCAATGAACATTTAGCCACAGCCTAGAACAAATTCTTTTCATTTATGAATCCTCGGCCGACTGAAGTTGTTTGCAGAAATGGAAATCATTCTTAATTTATTATGCAGTTTTCAAAGTAAAACCGACAGCGCCCCACTTTCTCCAACCACCGTTCCTTTTTCATCGAACCTGTTCTTATAACGGCTTCATTGCACTTCATACAAAAACTTGTTCAACGATTCATATTCCCTTAGATTTCATACAGCAAACGGTGACACAGATTCTTACTAGACAAACTTGATGCCGTTGCTGTCTGTTTCTTCCGACGTCGCCTGCTGAGATTGGTCAGCAAGCAGATTTTGATGCTATCTGCTACCAATAGTTTACCTTTCTTTTTAAAAAAAAAAATTATTATTTTTTAGATTTGAAAACTTCATACATCTTTAATCCTATATTTTTTTTATATAAATAAATGAAGAATATCACTGTATCAAGTGGCTTGACTTTAGCTCATGAGAACATTTGAGGGCTTACTTTCGAAACATCACGATCTTAACTTTTTCCCTTTTTGTCACAAAAGAGAAGAACCGAATTGTGAAGGTGGGGCCCTAGAATATTGCTCTCCTTTTCTTTTTATTAATTAGTCCTCAAAGATTAATAATTAATTCATTAGAGTTGATCAGTAATTTCACATGAAAAGTGTAAACTTGCAAAGTTGGCGTCTGTAATCCGTAAATAATTAATTCATGATGTCTTAGCAAAGAAAAATGTGGTGATGGTGCACCAGTGGCATAGCATTGCTATTATGATGTTAAAATTCATATAGTATTATGGAATGAATTAAATTTAAATGTATAAATGTAAATTTTGGGATTAAAAAAAGAATGGACTGATATAACTCTGAATAGCTTTTGTTTGTTTAAAGGGCCCAGTCAACAAGGAAGGTACTAGGATCTGGATTATATAAAGATACACGGGTCTATCGTGTGCGTGTAGAATAGGACTCATTTTATATTCCTCTCGTGTCGGTTTCGAGTGATGTCTATGAAAGCACCCGATGTGGTTTCCACGTTGTACAAATTCGGCAGCATTTATGTCGTTAACACCAGCCACCCATTCTAGGATGAACTAAGAGATAGAATAGAGATAATAGTATTTTTATTTACAAAATAAATTAACATATAATTTAGATATTTCTTATATTTTTATTAATAATTTTTTTCGTATTTTAAAGTTAATCTATCTTAAAATATTATAATTTAAGTTTTTCTTAATATAGAATTTTATATCCGGCCATGATTCCAGCAATTTATTAATATAAGTGAGAATCTAGTATTTTGGCAGTACATATGGTTTCAAGCTATTAGGCCAGCCTAACCGAACAGTCAAAACTGGAAAGCCATTAGGTCATTTTTCAATTTTCATACTTTCTCAAATGATAATTAAAATCTCAAAGGTCCAAATGGATGGTGAACTAAAGTAGGCAGTGGCCAAGAAACGGTCTATTTAGGCAAGCACGCGACACTAACTAAAATAATCTATGATCGATTTAGTTACTTCATATTCGAGATTTGTCTTGTAGTTTTTACTCTAAATAGGTTTTCCGTTTTGGTAAAACTTCACGATATTGCCACATTGCAAAATGATGTTCGTCTCCCTTTATGTTTCTTAAAAAAAAATGAAAATGTGTTTGGTATCAAATTTTTTAAAATAAAGATTGATAAATAGTTATTAAATAATTAAATTAAAATATAATTATTAAAAAAATTATTACGAATTATAAAAATATAAAAGATAAAATTGATAAGTAATTTCAATAACACAAAATTTATTTTAGTTTATAATAAAAATATAATGTTAATGCATAGTTAACATTAATTAAATTTTAAAAATACACAAAACTATTGTTATAAGTGCCACATTTACCATCTAAACCGTCACATCAGCACTGTGAAGTGTCACAACAACATCGTAACGGTCAACGACGAAAATTATTGGTTAAATGGTCACATTGGGTTTTTTTTTCTTAGTTTGAGGGCTATGTTAAGCGCAAAAATAGTTCGAGGGTCATTTTTTATTTGAAAAGAATAAGGGATTTATGTATAGGGATGGCAACGGGGCGAGTTCGGGGCGGGTATTGGTACCCCCGTCCCCGTTTAAAAAACCGGTACTCATCCCCGTTTAAAAAACCGCGGAGATTTAAACGGGGATTTCCATCAGGTAATCGGGAAAAATCGCAGGGAAACGAGTATCTCCGTTTAGCATAAACACAGTGTTTTGAAACTTTAATTACATTGGTTTAGAGTTTATGTACGGTATAGGCTCAGGATTTTAGCATTTAAAGAATAATATTTTGTGTTTTAAAACTTGAGATAGTTTGTATAAAATAATTTTTATACAACTTATTCATCCCGTGATGTTCCCTTGACCACCATGCAGGCCCACCATTACTTTGAAAGCATTCATCTCAGTCCGACAAATATATATATATATATATGTTTAATATAATGTCCCAAAAGTTACCATAAATTAATAAAACACCATCTGTAATAAGCACCATAATTTGTTTTTTATTATTTCACCACTTTTGCAGTAAACACTTTATTTCTGTCTATACTTTGTTGCTGCACATCAACGTGCAAAACCACGTTTTACTCCCATATTCCAGAGTTGGCTCGCAAATCCAACTGCAACACCCATGACCTGCCTGCACCACTGCTACAGCAGTCCCATATTTTTTTAATTTAAATTAAATTTATTAATATTATATATATATATATATAAAATAATTATTTTTAATATTTATCGGGTCGGGTATCGGGCCGGGTAATCGGGTCGAGTAATCGGGTAATCGAGGCGGGGATTACCAAACCCGTCCCCGTTTAACATAAACGGATTTTCCCCGTCCCCGTTTATCATCCCCGAACCCGACCTGTTTAATTCAGTTTTCGGTTTTTCTCGTCGGGTTCGGGTTTTTTTGCCATCCCTACTTATGTACCATTTTGCCTAGGGATGGGCATGGAACCCGAATTCAACGGGTTTCGACTTGACCCGATCGAATCGAATTTTTTAAAAAAATTGAGTTCGGGTCAAGTTCTAGTTTAGGGTGTTAAATACTCGACCCGAGAAAAATATATAATTTTATCTTTACATTTGGAGATAATTTTCAATAAAGCCCTTCTATACATTATTTTTTTTGAATTAAATTCCTATTTTTATTGAATAAAAATAATATTTTTTAATAAATATACTATTTCGGGTCAGGTGGAGGATGTATAATTTTCGTGTCGGATTGATCAAAAATCCGACCCAACCCAACCCAACCCATGTCTATCCCTACTTTTGCCTAATTTTTTTTGATAAAAAAGATGTATTTATTAATCATAGATTAAACAATATTATATATGTTTTTAAATATTTTCAATTATTTAGTAATAAAAGTTTAAACACTCTTCTGACTTTTGGTGCTCAAACTTAAATTTTTTAAAAATAACATTTTTTTTAAACACATAAGTATCTTGATTCCTGAAAAGAAATAGAATTTAGAATTTCATGAATCCGACTTACAAAATGCGATAATACAAGTCATCAAATTGATCCATCAAAATTGAGGCCTCCGTTGGTCTGCTGTTTTCTTATAGGAATAATGGACCGCTAACTAAGTACAGTAACTATTACGTATATTATAATATATAGTTTTTGCTTGTAATCTTATACTTAGTTGAATTCATCATATTTTCAAGGGTTTGAATTAAAGCAAATAATTATTCTAGGTCGTGATAATTAAAGTCTGATGTCGGTCTAGTCCAACCATAAATTTTATATAATCATCGTTTGATTAATTAATTCAAATAGAATAATATATAAATTTATTATAAAGGTAATTCTTCCACTTAATTTTCTTTGTTTAAAATGTAAGAAATTTAAATCTTAACATAAGTTTAATATAACCTTTATTGCTCTTTATTCAGTTTAATCGTATAAGAAAAATATTTTTGTAAATTATAGTTAGAATTACTTTTATAAAAAAATTTCTTTCTTTATTTTAGCGAGAACTGACCCAAATATGTATTTTTGGTTACATAGTTAATCAATTACTATGGATTATTTATATTTTCTATTTTAATCATATTATTAAAAACTAAAATAAGTGTTGACTTATTAAAGTTGCTTTTTGTCTCTCATCTTTAAATGATTAATAAAAGTATGATGTGATACTTTTTAAAATTTACATAATAATAAACTAATTCTTAATATTTATAACAATATTAACTTGATCTTTATTCTAAAAATTTAATCTGCAACATTTATACATCGTATAAAAAAAACTCGTGTATAGAGTATAATATTTTTTCATTTTATAATCTTTTGTATTGAGTATCATATATTTTTTTATTAATTTGTACCACTTTCCCAAAAAAAATCTTGTATAATCTTTTCATAGATTTTTTTAATTTTTTTAATTTCCCAAAAAAAAATGATATGTAAATATTGAGAGTTGATTTTTAGAAGAAATATCAAATTAATATAATACATAAATATTGAGAATTAAATATATTTATTTTGTAAACTGTCTCGTCATCTAAGAACTGAATATAAGAAAGTAAATCTGATAAATCGAATAATTGTTTTATAATATTTATAATCAAATAAAAAGAGTTAATAGTCCGATAACTATTCAGCATTTATGTAGTTTACTTTTTCATGTATTAAATACAGAAAAAACGAGACTCGTATAATTTATAAGTTGATTAATAAAATCATTTTAAATCTGGA